CACACACACACACACACACACACACACACACACACACACACACACACGGGAGGCAGCCTCCTCCCCAGGGAAGTTCTCCCAGACTTTGACATGCACCTTTTCCAAGCACTCTAGCGGCACCACTGCCTTACCAAGAATCAGGAGGGTAATCCCGTTGAAAACTGCACCCACGTACGTCATCAGCCACATGAAGACAGCCAGCTACAAAGGACACAGTCAGACTGTTAGAGGCACAATCCCACGATGGCAGACAGTTCACCGGAAATTCCCCCAGCTCAAAGGTCAGAAAACTTTGGCCTCAGGCCTGTTTTTCTGTACAACTTGTGAACCAAGAATGGTTTTTGAATTCTTAAGTCCAATGAAACTTTATTTAAAAATGTAAAAAATATTCTTACCTCGAAGGCAAACCATGGCAATTTGCCAGCCTTGCTCCTTAAGTAAGTACCTGGCCCCCATCACTGCAAACTAATTCCAAAGGTTCTCAAAATGTCAGAGCTGCTAAGGTTCTGCAGAACCCTTACCCCAAAGCCAAATTCAAACCTAATTCTTGCTATAATTACTTTCTCCCTTTCCTCCTCCTGGTCTGTGTTCTTTTAGCAGGAAGAAAGGTCTTCTCCACTACTTCTGCCCTCACTTTGCAGGCTTGGTTTACAGTTACTGCCAGGCTCCCTCTTGCCTTTTCCCCACTGAGTCCTTATTCCCCCTCGAGCTCTAACTGACCTTTAAGGAATCCACCAGATCTTCCACCAGAAAGAGACGGATGACGAGCTTGAGAGCCTTGTTGACGTGGACCATCGCAGCATTGACGTAATTATGGAAAGCTTCTGAGGACAAAGCAATGTCCACATCCAGGTAGGCCCTTCATGGACAAAGAAAAAACAATCAGACACTTGACTCCAAAATTTAAATCACTCCATAAACTCATCAATGTAGACTGCAACCCACCCATGCCTGCCTCTCCTAAATCTTATCCATGTCTTCCTAGAAGATCAAAACCAACCTGGGATCCACCCAACAAGCTGGAAGCTTCCTCTTGGCTTGCAAAGAAGTAAAAATCTGGTTTACTGGGTGGATGGTGAAGGGGACATAACTCAAGAACTCCTAGGTCTCTACTCTCAACTCTATCATGTTACTGTGATGTAACCATAAGCCTTGTGTTGATTTTCTTCTCTGTAAAATGAAAAGTAAAATTTTGCCTTAAAATTAGTTCATGAGAATTAGGGGCAACAGCTATTTAAAGCATTTAGTTACAAAATAAAACCCCACCATATAAATTCAAAATCATGCTCTTAAGGAGAAAAAAGTGGCATGGAAAATGCACTAGTAGAGCCATAATAAAACTATTTCTTTGAATCACTTTTCTTGCTTTTTTTTGGGGGGGGGGAGGGTGTGAGGCAGTTGGTGGTTAACTGACTTGCCCAGGGTCACACAAGCTTGTAAGTGTTATGTGTCTGAAGCCAAATTTGAACTCAGGTCCTCCTGACTCCTCGGCTGGTGCTCTATCCACTGAGCCACCTAGCTGTCCCTCTTGCATTTTTTACAATCCTAAAGAACACGCTTGAGGTAAAAATTATTCCTTTTGAATTCTTTAAATGAAAGGAAACTAAGGGGCAGAGTGGAAGCATTAAATCTTGGGGCAACTCTGGACAAATGTCTTTCTCCCTACTTGGGAAAGCTCCTTTTTCTCTAAAAAATGATAAAAATACTTGACACTTCTTTCCCTCAAAATAATATTTTAAGGGGTTTCAACAGGAAAGTATTAGAAACCCTATGACTGATATTTGCAAAAAAGTCTGAGTAACCAGAAATCGATCCCAGAAACACATGCCCACCTACCTGGCTTTACCAAAACCTGACCTCTAATATAAATGCAGCTGAGGCATTGACAGAACTATGAGATGAATCAAGAACCCCCAACTTCTCCAGCCATTTAACATGCCATGGATGAAAACGCTCTGCCAAGCATTAAGATTTATAGAGTGCTCCGAGGCCTGACTTTCCAAAAGGCTAGGGGCCACGTGTTACCCCGTCTGTTCATTACTTCAAGCTGCCAGTTTCTGCCAGATGTGGGAGCTGAAAGGTTCTCCAGTCTATAGCCACAGCCTCCATAAAGTACCTCTTCTTGGAGAAACCTCCCTCTGCAAGGAATTCCTTAGCAGCACCCCATGCATGGAGTAAACCTCTTACAGTATTTAGCACTGTCACACTGGTCACTGAGCTGCAGGATTTCCGTTAAAATACTTTTGCACTCACTTGAACGGATGGCCCTCTTCTGACTTCTGCACAGCTTGGATGACAGACTTGTAGACCCGGAAGCTGATGGTGACAGAAAGGAGGGCCAAGATGAGGTAAGAAGCCACGCTGATGACACTAAAAGCTGCCAGGGAGAGCAGCATGATCAATGTTGTGCCAAAGACAAGGCCAGTCTTCTTGACATCCCGCCAGAAGATGAGGTCGTGCACTGCCAAAGGAGAAGGAAGAAGCTGTAAGAACACAAGCAAATAACCGCAACAGGCTCCGCTTCTAGCTGGCCCTTGTCCTAGCCCGGACACGATGTATCCTCTCTCTGTGAAAACCTACCAGACAAAATGAGAAGGCAGCATTGCTGTAAACGGCTTTCATTAGACAAAAGGCTTCAATCAACTGAGCTTCCCCAATTGCATCTAAAATAAAACGGTACTTATGTAGAGCTTTTCAGAAATACCTTCATTTTCACAAAGCAAATCAGCATTCAGTAAAACCTCAAGTCTAAGTTGTGAGTTTGGATTCAACAGAACATCAAACAATGTTTATCTGAAGAGTGCTTTTGCACGAAGGAGAAATTTGTAATAAACACACCTGGATGTGTTCTTTTAAACATAGCCAGAATAACTCAGGATGTTACCAGATTTCAAAGTCAGAGATGGAAGAAACTTACTTCCTTAGAGTTTTCAAAGCATTACATGACAGCTAGCTATCAATACTTGAGCAAATGACAATTATTCTACCTTTGCTAGACATAGTATGACAATTACTATTCTATTAGGATTTCACTGATGAAAATGTGGCTAATTCTAATACTGACAGTGCCACTGTCTTTTAACAGGGTGTCTACCACACAACTGACATAAAAAGTACATTCTATTTATCAAAAGAGATTTTAGGATCCAAGTTAATATATCCAAGACTGGCAGTTTATGTCTAATAATCTTCATTGCTTGTAAAGCATTACCAGGGACAGCTATACTAACACCATTCCCTCCATTCCCCCAAACCTTCAAGAATCTAGGGATAAATATGTCCATAGGTTGGGGAAGAATAGTAAATGAAGAAATACTAAGCTGATATCTGTCAAGAAAAAATACTAAAAAAACAACTCTGGCCAACAGACGGGAGATGAGGAGTGATTATTCTCTTTAGGTCAGGGTTAACAAACGTAATCCGTGGTGAAAAGTTGAGAAGTGAAACTTTAGGGAAAACCCAGTCTTTTCTGTTGAATCTTTAGGTGCATAAAAGGAAAAAGAATGAATTTGTATTGGGGGAAGGAGAGAGATCCAAAATAAACTGAACTATACTGAAATGAGGGGAGCGGAGCAGGATACTCTGAGTTCACAAAGAAAAAGCCGGTTTATGAATTTTGGGTAACAGGAGCTTGGAAGTCTTTCCAGTTGCTTCAAGTAGATTTCAGGAAGGTAATTTTAACCAAACCAGAAACAAAGAATACAAACCTAAGGTTTTACCCCAGAAAAGGCCTGTGACTCTCTAGCGACTGAGATCATTAAAAGTTCAACCTTGGAATGGATGGTGGAGGTCTGGTGGACTATTGAGGAAGGAGAGTTGTCCTAAGACCTAGGGCTGAAGGAAGCATTAAACACTTGGGATAAATGAACTAGTATCTTTAAGCTTCTATTTCATTAACACAATAACAGCAAGTGGCACACCTTTAACTTAACTAGGACCCTGAGGGTCCCTCAGATCGGCACACCGGAGTCAGAGCATCTCTGAGTTTGGCTCTGATACGTACTAACTTCTATCATTCTGGGCAAATCACAATCTAAAACTCAGTTTCCCCAATCCTCCCAACTCTAATGTTATATGATCTCAGTATCTGTTTCCTCAGCATGTACATCTGTTTATCCGATTACAAATAAAACAAAATTCTTTGTATTCATACAAAGGGAATTTGACCAACATATCCAAGTACTATGACAAAGAAATGGAAACACAAGGTTTACTGATTTGCTCATCATCCTAAAATCCATTCAGTAACTGACTTGTTCCACTCTATAACTGTACAAAAAGTCAGCCAGAAGCACATGGATATTAGGAAAGGACACCTCCAGAGGGAAGAGCACGTCCAGAGAGAAGGCCAAGGACACACACAGCCGCAAGGTTATGTGTCTTCGGGCAGCAAGAGTAGTGTGTCCCTATGACAATGTCCCAGAGAGCTGCATTGGGCAGCAATGCCACAGTACTCATACCAAGACAGTTCAGATCCAGGGGCTTTAAGAACCCCAGTACTCTATCCTGGTATGCCAGAGAGAGCTCTCAAGATTCAGTGCTCAAAGGTCCAGGGGGCAGGCTTACCCTGGCAAGAACCCAAGGGACAGAACAAGACCAAAGAGTCGGACCCAAAAGTGTACCAGGGGATGGAGCTCTGCCCTAGCTCTGAGCTCTATTCAGGAATTAAAGCTGGAGAAATAAGTGAATCAAAGAAAACAGACCATTACCAAGAATTAATGCAAATCTAACCCCATAACAACTGTAAGTTTTTCCTTTTTCAAAGGAAAAAATGAATTTTCCACAAGGATTACATTACCTAAAAGAAATGAAGCAAGAGACAAAAGCTCATGAGGAAAGACTCAAAAGGAGAATTGGCTTAGAAGATTAAGTGTTTAAACCTTAACCAAAAAATGGAATCGTTGAAAATTAGAACAGACCAGAAAAGTCAACAACCCCATGACACAGTAAGAAATATTAAAACAAAACCAAAAAATTTAAAGTAGAAGAAAATGTTACCTATCTGATATATAAAAACCAAATTACCCGGAAAACAGGTCAAGGAAAGATCTTTTTTGGATTCCCTGAAAATCATGATTTTTAAGAGTCTGTATTTCAAGAAATCATAAATGAAAACTGTCCAGATCTAGGAATGTCATATCTAAAACCCAGAAATTCCCCATTTAAAAGAACAAAACAAAACCCAGCAAACATCCGGAAACTACAACCAGGTTCACACAAGGTTTGGCAACTTCTACTAAAACCAGAGGAACAGAATATTGGACTACAACATTCCAAAAGGCAATAGATTTGAAACCAAGAATACTATAATTCTAGAGAGCGGAAAGCATGAATCTTTATTGGAAGAAGACTTTTAAGGATTCCTGATAAAAGGGCCAGAACTAACAAGGAACTCTGTAATACAAAACATTAGAATCAACAGAAACCTATAAAGGGAAATTTATTTGAGCAACTAGAAGGAACTACAGGATAATGTAGAACTAACATTTTAATGGCAAAGAAGAATTGTGTGATTCCTTCAGAATCGTTGTGTCTTAAAGGATATATAGTTAATTAAATAAGATACAACAGTTCCTAGGGGTGGAATGGTTCAGTTCAGAAGATTTTTGAGAGGGGAAAGGGAAGGAAGAGTAAAACGAAGCAATATGCTAGAGTAGAAAGGAAGAAAGGGAGCAAACTTTCTACTTCTCAAAATTAGAGTACATAAGAATATACAAGCAAGAGGAAGGGAAACAAAAAGTGGTCACCAGAGAACTATCTTATCTGAATACACAGTTTGTTACAGAAACTGATCAAATTCATTAGGGAAACCAGTTTGGGGGCTCAGGGGAGGTCAAACATAGGATAACAAGCTGAAAGGCAGAGCCATACAAGACAAACTTCCTGAAACTACAGGAGGAATTAAAAGAGGGAAAAACAAGAATTACAATCTAAATGAGGGCCTTACTGGGGACGACTGGGGAATGGCTGAACAAATTGTGGTATATTAATGTAATGGATGAAATTACAAAAGAGACAGTATCAGAGAATACCAAGTATTATGAAATGACCCTGAGTAAAGTAAGAACCAGGATAACTGATACAAAGACGACAACAACACCGTAAAGAAAAACAACTTAGAAAAACTTCAGAAGTCTTATCAAAGGAATGATCAACCATGTCTCCAGGAGACCTATGAGGACACCTGTCACCTGTCTTATGACAAGGAAGTGACAGACACAAGGGAAAGACAAATATATTTTGGACGTGACCACTATGTGGATTCATTTGGTTTGACTGTTACAAGTTTTAATTTTCCCTATCTAGATTAATATGAAGAAAGAAAGGACAATCAGTAACAGTAATATAAAAAAAAAAAAAAATGCCTTTTAAACTACACAGAAAAAAAACCAGAATTTCAGAAGGAAGCACAAAAAGGGGCAGTTTTCAAAGTAGTTTGTAGAGTGTATTACATACTTTTAAAAGCGGTGAGATTTTATTTCATATAGAATCCTCTTTCTGTGTTCTCAATATATGGGAATGTCCTTTCTTTGAACACTAAAGTTAGGACCAGACCGTTCACTTGTGCGCATTATAAAGCAAACTTGAAGTCAAGAGTATTACAAATACTGAACAATCACAGCTTATCTTTGCTGAAAGGCTGAATCAGCTAACAAAATGTTCATTCTGATGCATGAGGCACAACTAAATTATTAAGGAAGAAATGACTTTTACACGGTATGATGTCTACCAAAACCTCTGGTTTAGATGCCAATGGTTCAGACTTTGAGAGCACAGTGACACACTTGGGCTGGCTGGCTGATCTATAAAGGAGGGTCTGTTAACTGGGAGAGTTATATAGGCAACTTGCCAAACTTTTCAAAATGCTTAAGCGTTTCAGAAAGGCCACTTACAAACAACTGATCCGATTCCCCTTTTGTCTCTTACTAAAGAAACTCCACTAGAGAGCACTCTGTTAGCGTTGGGTTGGTGCTCTTTATTCTTTGACAGGCCAAGGATGACCAAAAGAATGCTAAGATTGAGTTTTTTTTTTAAAAATAATTTATTTTGATTTATCAATAATCACTTCCATATGCTTTTGAGTTTAAAATTTCTCCCCCTTCCTCCCCACCACCCTCCCCAAGATGGTGCACAATCTGATATAGGCAATACATTTACATTCATATTAAACATATTTTCACATTAGTGATGCTGTAAATAAAAATTAAAACCAACAGGAGGAACCATCAGACACAGGAAACAAAACTCAACAGAAGGGAAGAAAGAAAAAAAAAACAGCAATTTGACTTCCATAGTTCTTTTTTTGAATGTGGATAGCATTTTCCATCACAAGGCCTCTGGAGATGTCTTAGATCCTTGTATTGCCGGGAAGGGTTAAGTTTATCAATATTAGTCATCACACAACGTGGCTGTTATTGTGTACAACATTCTCTTGGTTCCGCTCACTTCACTCAGCATCAG